GACAGCATCAAGGGCCAGAGTTGAAGCTCATGACCGACGAAATAAAAAGTGTATGTATGTGTATTTACTGAGTTTGTTTATATGCCATAAACAGTGCTTCATAGTGGTTACAAAGATCAACCATGTCCATCTCAGACACATATACAATAAAAGAGCAGGAGTGGTAACGAGCAGGGTGATTGCTGAGATTTGCAGAAGCAGCCCATGGGGAGTTCTATGTAACAGTAGCAGTGCTGAGAATAGTTTGGATCTAACTTCACATAGCCAGTTTATCCTCCATCAGACTCCTGCCAGACAAAGAGGGCTCTGTTCTCCATTCCTCTTTGTCCCACAAATGTGGGTGGATAAGCATGCTTACCCTTCCATTCAGTGACATCTGAGAGTATTAGGTATACAGCATCTAAGACCTTCACTACTTTATTTATTTATTATTTATTATTACTAAGTGTTAATTTTGGCCAAAACAAAACAGCATTGTTTTCAAAATTCCAGGAAACAGTATGAAGTACACTTCTGTATCCCAGACTCACCTACTATTAACATTTTTGTCCTGTTTTGTTCATTTGTTCATTCACTCGTTTTTTGGATTTTTTTGTTTTTGCTGGTCTTGGGGTTTGAACTCTGAGCCCGGGTGCCTTCCCTGAGCTTCTTTTGCTCAAGGCTAGCACTCTACCACTTGAGCTACAGCTCAACTTCTGGCTTTTTTCTGTGATTAATTGGAGATAAGAGTCTCACAGACTTTCCTGTCTGGGCTGGCTTCAAGACTCGATCCTCAGAACTCCACCTCCTGACCAGTTAGGATTACAGGATGAACCACTGGCACCCTGATCATTTGTTTGTTTTTTTATGGTGTTAGGCATTAGGGTTCTTTCCTTCCTTCCTCCCCTCCCTCCCTCCGTTCCTCCCTCCTTCCCTGCCTCCCTTCCTCCTTCCCTCCTTCCTTTCTTCCTTTGGAGTTGCAGTAATTTTTACTAATAGATTCTGTAAATTTTATGACCCAAAGTTTATAGATAATATGTAACCACTGAAGGGATACATCATATAATAAAGAAGCTTGGTGTTCTTGTTTATATTTGAAAATGGAATAGTTAAATGCAGGATAAAAAGAGACTATTATCAGAAAAGTATTGCAAATACTATCTTGGAAATGTTTTGAAATACTATTCTAGAGATAATTTCCCTTTATCCTGATATTTAACGTAGCTATGTTGAATGTCCCCTTAACCCCACAGTGCATCTGGTTTGTCTGTTTTATTCAGAGATACAGAAGTCATTTCTAGTACTTTATAAAAACTTAGAACCCTCTTGTTTTTTAGGCTGTAAAAAGACATAACCTGACTAAAAGATGGCTTATGAAAATCATTGATGAAAGAGTAAGTTGAAGTTATCTGACAAGTCTTATAATATTTAATATGTGTATGTATATGTATAGCCTACATCCCTTTAGCCCTCTGCTGCCCCACCTGGGCACAATAAGTAGAGTCAGGCACACCAGGCCGAGGCATGTGTATGTATGCACAAGCAGCTCTACTGTTTTTTTTTTGTTTTTGTTGTTTGGTTTTATTTTGTGCTAATCCCTAGGGCTTGAACTCGGGGCATGGGCACTGTCTCTGAGCTCTTTTGCTCAAGCCTAGTATTCTACACTTGGGCCACAGCTCTACTTCCTCCTTTTTTGATGATTAACTGAAGCTAAGAGTCTCACACAATTTTCTTTCTCTGTCTTTGGATTATAGTCCTCAGATCTCAGGTTTCTGAGTAGTTAGGGTTACAGATGTGAACCACCAGCACCCAGAAAATAGCTGGATGGTTTTGTTTGTTTGTTGTTTTTTGTTTTTTTTTTGCCCGCTCTGGGGCTTGAATTCATGGCCTGGGTACTGTCCCTGAGCGTCTTTTTGTTCAAAGCTAGCACTCTACCACTTGAGCCACAGTGCCACTTCCAGCTTTTTCTATTTATGTGGTACTGAGGAATCGACCAAGGGCTTCATGCATGCTAGTCAATACTGAACCACTAAGCCACATTCTCAGCCTGGATGTTTCTTTTTAAAATGGAAATTACGCTTTAATGTATCTGTCACCATCTCTTATTTTGTGTGTGTATGCGTGTGTTTATGCTGGTACTGGGGCTTGAACTAGGGGCTCGAGCACTATTTAACTTTTTCACTCAAGACTAGTACTCTACCACTGGAGCCAGCTTTTTTTGGCAGTTAATTGGAAATAAGAGACTCATGATTTTTCTGGTGCCGGTGGCTTGGAACCTCAGGCCTCAGGAGCTAGCATTACAGGCATGAGCCACTGGTGTCTGGCCACATTAGATTATTTTTAAATAAATACCACACATCATTTGACCTACAAATGCATATGTATCTAAAAAAGATGAGGATTTCTTAGAATATAGCCAGAGTACAATTACCATAGTTTAAAATGGTACTAGTAACTTCTTGTTACCAAATGTCCCTATATAACCCTTTATATTCAATCCATTACTTGATTCTGTGTTCAGATAATAGAGGGAATAAAAAAAAATGACAAATCCAATGAGTAGAATCCTATACTCAATACTTAGAAGAATGGAGTTCTAAGCCAGGCGCCAGTGGCTCACGCCTGTAATCCTAGCTACTCAAGGAGGCTGAGATCTGAGGATCATGGTTCAAAGCCAGCCTGGGCAGGAAAGGCTGTGAGACTCTTATCTCCAATAAACAACTCAGAAAACCGGAAGTGGTGCTGTGGTTCAAGTGGTAGAGCGCTAGCCTTGAGCTGAAGAGCTGAGGGACAGCACCCAGGCCCAGAGTTCAAGCCCCATAACCACCAACAACAATAACAAAAAGAATGGAGTTCGGGGTCCAAGGCCTTGACTGGTTCTGGCCTGACCTTACTTGTATAATCTTTCTGATGCATTTCTGTTTATCATATACTTAGTTTACTTAGCTAAACATCTGTTCTGTTCATAATTTAAACTGTACTAATAATAATCCAAAAAGAGAGATAATGATTTATTTAAACATTAAAAATGGAATTGCATGGCTGAGAATGTGGCTTATTGGTAGAGTGCTTGCCTAGCATGCATGCAGCCCTGGGTTCAATACCTTAGCACCCCATAAACAGTTTGGGCCTGAAGTGTCACTGTGGCTTAAGTGGTAGAGCGATAGCTTTGAACAAAAGAAGCTCAGGAACAGTGCCTAGGCCCTGAGTTCAAGCCCCAGGATTGGCAAAAAAAAAAAAAAAAAAGGATGGGATTGTTCACTCAGCCTACAGAATGAATTAGCACTAAGAAAATCTGATATGCCAGGCTCCAGTGGTTCACATCTGTAATCCTAGCTAGTCAGAAGGCTGAGATCTGAGGATTGTGGTTTGAAGCCAGCATTGGCAGGAAAGTTCATGAGACTTATGTCCAACTAACTAGCAAAAAGGCTGGAAGTAGAACTGTGGCTCTAGTGGTAAAGCACTAGCCTTGGTTGGGAGAGGGGAGGCAAGAAGCTCAGGGACAGTGCCAAAATCCTTAGTTCAAGCCCCAGGATCAGCATCTTAAAAAAATAAAACAAAGAGAAGAAAATTGTTCTTATGGTAATTTCCTGTTATTTACAAGACAAAATTAAAGAACTCAAGACAGATACCTTTTCCTGTTTAAAAAAAAAAAACTTGTAGTATTTGAAGAAGAGAATATTTAAAAGATAAGGACTAGATCAAGCATCTATCTAGATATTTAAGGTAATCCTTATCAAAATTCGAGCTTTTCTTTCTTGCTCAAATTGACAAAGTATCTTAAAACTTACGGAGAAATGCAAAGGACCCAGAATAGCCAAAACAGTTTTTTTTTTGGGGGGGTGGGGTCCCATCGTGGGCGTTTTCCCTCAGCTCTTCAGCTCAAGGTTAGCACTCTACCACTTGAGCCACAGCACCACTTCCGGCTTTTTTTTCTTTTTGCTTCTGTGGTGCTGAGGAATCGAACCCAGGGCCTCATGCATGCAAGGCAAGCACTCTACCACTGAGCCACCTTTCCAGCCCCCCAAACGTTTTTTTATTGTTGGGTTTTGTCCAGTACCAGAGTTTGCATTCAGAGCCCTATGCTTACTCATCAGCTTGTACTCTGCTACTTAAGCCATGCTGTCAGTGTAGCATTTTGCTGGTTAATTGAAGATAGAATGTTGTAGGCTTTTATATCTAGTCTGGCTAAATCTATCTTCTCCAGGTCTCAGCCTCCTAAGTAGCTAGGATTACAGATGTAAGCCACTAGTAACCAGCTGCCAAACCAGTTTAGATAAAGAACAAAGTTATAAGATACATTTTCTAATTTTGAAACTTAACTACAAGGCTGTAATGTTGGAAAAGAATAGTCAAATGATTAGGATGATGAAAATTCTTATCCACTCATCAGGATGGCCATAATAAAAAAAAAAAAGATGAATGGCAAGTGTTAGGGAAAATGTAGAGAAATTGGAACCTTGCATACAATGCTTATGGGAATATAAAATGGTGTACCTACTTTGGAAAAAGTTTGGCAGTTCTTACAAAAGTTAAACATAGAGTTACTATCTATCAAGCTCAGTTCAGTGTCTTTTGATACTTTGCGTTTTAGAATTAAAATCAAGCCAACACTGTATATTTTGGTTATTCCTGAGTATTATTTTGATAGGTGATTTGTAAGTATAGAATGTATAAGATTTTAAAGTCATTTTTAATCTTAAATATGCTAAATAATCTTAGTTTTTCAGAGCTAGTATATTTTCTTAATTTTTTTTCTTCTTTTTGGTTGGTCCAAGGGCCTGAACTCAGGACCTGTGAGCTGTCCTTGAGCTTTTGTGCTTAAAGATAGCATTTTACACATCTCCATTTCCAGCTTTTTGGTACTTAAATGGAGATAAGACTTTCCTGCCCAGACTGTTATCCTCAGATCTGAGCTTCCTAAGTAGTTAGGTTTACAAGCATAAGCCACTGGCAACTGGCCCTAACGTCTTCTCTTTATAAGATATTGATAATTCAGCAAGCTTTTTGTATTTCCTTTGACTATAGGAAAAAAATTTGGATGATAAAGCATACCGTAATATCCAGGAACTTGAAAATTATGCTGAAAACACACAAAGCTCTCTTCTTTACTTAACACTAGAAATATTGGGTAAGTTATTTTTCTATTTTATACTACTCTTTTCAAATAAAATGCCTTCCAGATTCCACTCTTTTACTAATTTGACAGTCTGTCCAATTTATTACTGACATTTTTTACACTATCCATAAGATAACTACTTTTTTGTTTAAGAAGCAAGGAAGGAAATATATGTCTTTCTTTGCGGTCCAAACTATTTTAAATCTTCAGGCTCTCGTAAAAGTAGTTTAGGTATTTCATGGGAATGCTATAGTTAATGTCTGGTAATTGCAGATGGCTTTACTCTTTCACTATCATATTAGGATTTGAAAGTCCTGTACTCTGACTCTTCTCTGTCAATAGTACTTTTCCATATTAAATCAAGTAGAAGATACAAAACTACACTTACGAAAGTTTTTATGAGATTTTTCTTTCTCCTCCTTTAAAAAACTTTTTAGATGATACTTTTCCTCCTCTGACTTCGTTCCAAGTTAGTGATGTCTTAATACAATGAGGAAATTATTTGGGCAAGGACAATACCATCTCATTCAAAGAAGGTAATATATTTTATGTTACCCCAAAAGACTAGTAGAGGTCTCCATTGAATAGTTCAGCCAGGTCTCTTGTGCCTGCACCCCTGGTGACATGTTTGCCATCATATTGAAAGGAGGAGGTAAAAAGCCGAATATTTTTAAGTGTATACATGAAATGAGGTCATATGGGAACTGCATAGAGAAGAAATGGAAGATTTATAATGAATTACCATGATAGCTGATGACAATTCTAAATGTGTTCTTGGTGTGCCCAAGTTGGGGGAAAATTTTTTTCTACAATTGAGATTCTAATACCTACTAGGAAATTGGCCACTTTTCCTTTCATTCACTTTTCCTCTCATAAACCTTGTTTTCCAGATACAAATATCTTCTTTTATGTGTTCAACTGATTTCTCTCTGCTGTTTCTATTGATTTGTTATCTACTTAGAATACAGCAGGCTTTTTAATTTTTAAAACCCTAGGAATAAAGAATCTTCATGCAGATCATGCTGCAAGTCACATTGGAAAAGCACAAGGCATTGTCACTGTTTTGAGAGCAACTCCTTATCATGGGAGCAGAAGAAAAGTGTTTCTTCCCATGGATATTTGTATGCTGGTAAGGGTATAATTTACACCCTCTAGGCTGGGAAGGTGGCTCAGTGGTAGAGCGCTTGCCTTGCATGCCTGAGGCCCTGGGTTCGATTCCTCAGCACCACATAAGCAAAAAGAAAAAAGCCGGAAGTGGCACTGTGGCTCAAGTGGTAGAGTGCTAGCCTTGAGCTGAAGAGCTGAGGGACAGCTCCCAGGCCCAGAGTTCAGGCCCCACGACCGGACCCCAAAAAAAAAAAACTTTACACCCTCTAATAAATCACTTCAGTAATGCTGGGAGGAAAGTTCTATCTTATTTCTTTGCTAATCTATTCTTATTAGCTGCTTTGAAAGGAATGTTCATTGCTTCTTCCTTTGTCCTTTTTAGTGAGTTAGAATTGTATCTATCAGGTACAGTAAATCTCTAGAAGGGCTGTGAGGGAACAAGGTCCAGAGAACATCATTTAGTAAAGCTTCATAATAATATTTTACTCCTTCCAAACAATTATAGTAAGTATTCTTAGTTCTTATTGGGGCCTGGTCGTTTTTTTGTTTGTTTGTTTGTTATTAGGAGAAATAATCCTTTTTCTTTTTTTCTGAGGCTTAGTACCAGTGGTTCACACCTATAAATCCTTGCTACTAAGGCTGAGATCTGAGAATCCTGGTTCAAAGCTAGCCCACGCAGACAGTATCTCTAACCAGCAAAAAGCTGGAAGTGGAGTTGTAGCTTAAGTGGTAGAGTGCTAACCTTGAGCGAAAAATCCAAGCTAGAGAACAAGGCCCTGTGTTCAAGCCCCTGTACTAACTCACAAAAAAAGCTAGTCAGAATTTTTGCTTTATTGTTTTGCTTTATTGTTATTGTTTGTCTGTTGCTTCAAATTTTCTGTATTTTTTTCTGTTATTTCTACATTCATATGTACACACATTAGTTAAAAAGTAGACATTATAGATGGGTACTGGTAACTCTCACCTGTAATACAGATTACTTGGGACAGTGAGAGTGAAAGGATGGAGGTTTGAGGCCAGCCTAGGCAGAAAAGTTTATGAGATCCTATCTTGAAAATAACCAGCAAAAAACAGGGCTGGAGGTATGGCTCAAGTAGTGCTGATAGCCTAGCAAGCTCAAGGTCCTGACTTCAAACTTCAGTACTGCCAAAAAGAAATAAATAATTTAAAATTAAAAAAAATAGACATTGTATATTGTATTCTGATCTACCTGTTTTCTTGAGTTATGTTAATTTTTGAGTTGTGATGTATAATTTGTTTTTTTGTGTTTGTTTTTGTTGGTCATGGGGCTTGAACTCTGGGCTTGGACACTGTCCTTGCACTCTTCAGCTCAAGGCTAGGCTCTACCTCTTTAGCCATAGCACCACTTCCAGTTTTCTAGTAGTTTATTGGAGATAAGAGTCTCATGGACTTTCCTGCCTGGGCTGGCTTTGAACCATGATCCTCAGATTTCAACCTCCAGAGAAGCTAGGATTACAGGCATGAGCCACTGGCACCTAGCTAAGTTATGATATAATTTGTTTGGTCTATCCCATCCAGCTCATTATTAAGAAGGAATCACTTGAAGATTTTCCACTTTAAGTCCCCAAAGTAGCTAGGATTCTAGGTGTGAGCTTGGCTGAGCTGGTGAGTTTTTTTGTTTTTTGTTCTTTTTTTGGTGGTTTTTTTTTTTTTTTTTTTGCATGTGTAAGTGCTGGGGCTTGCATCCTGGCATTGTACTTTCATTTAGTTTTTTTTTTCTCTAGGCTGGTGGTCTTCTACTTAAGCCATATGTTTCTTGCTGGTTAGTTGGAGGTCAGAGTCTCCAGGATTTTTCTGCTTGATCTGGCTTCAAACTGGAATTCTCAGATTTCAGCCTTCTGAGTAGTGAGGATTACAGGCATGATCCACTGGTACCCAGCTGAGCTATGTTAATTTAAGTGTGCTTGGAAATGTCTAGCATAAAGTATATTTTTTTTACACAGCATGGTGTTTCCCAAGAGGACTTTCTACGGAGGAACCAAAATAAAAACATGAGAGATGTAATATATGACATTGCCAGCCAGGCACACTTACACATAAAGCATGTAAGTTATCTCTTTTTGCCCAGTTATTTAAGAAATTGTTATTCATAGACATAGCTGTTCCTATAGTATGGTTATAGTATTCTTACCTTGACAGTTTTTTATTTATTTTCTAGTAAATTTACTTAAGGCACTTCGTAAATCTTCCCGCCTTAAAAAAAAAAAATACACACACACACACACACACATATTCCAGCCAAGTGCTGGTGGCTCACACCTGTAATCCTAGTTACTCAAGAGGCTAAAGTCTGAGGATCCTGTTTCGAGCCAACTAGGGCAGAAAAGTCCCCATGAATCTCCTGTTAACCACTTAAAAACGGGAAGTGGTGCTGTGTCTCAAAGTGGTAGAGTGCTGGACTTGAGCAAGAAAGAACTCAGGGACAGTGTCCAACCCCTTGAGTTCAAGCCCCACACTAGACCAAAAAAAAAAAATCTAGTTCTTCTTCAGCAGATAAATACTAAGTGAAATTTGAGCTTTCTCAGCTGGTCTCTTTTGTACCATCCACAGACACAGAGGTGTCTCTCCTTGTCTTCTAGGACCTCCCATCCTTAGTGGTCCTTTATTTGGTATTGTTTGCCTTCTCATAACTGAATTTATAGTCAGCTCACTGACCCTCTGTTTCTTATTTTTTTTTCCCAGGAACTTGTTGAAGAAGTGGCCTGTACTTATTTCTAGTAGAGGCCCTCTCCATCTTGGCATGCTCATTCTGTTCTAATTTGGCTTCTATTTTGCCAACACTGATAAGTAGTCACTAGTAAATAATCTTATTGTCAAACTGAGTATTCATTTCACATTATCTTTCATAGCCAAGCATCCATAGTTTATGCCTGTCTATAAGCCTAGCTACTCAGGAGACTGTCTGAAGGTTGAGATTCAAAGCCAGTCTTCGTAGGAAAGTCCATGAGACACTTATCTCCGTTAACTACCAAAAAGCCAGAAATGGTACTGTGGATTAAAGTGTACAAAAGCTGAGGGACAGTGCCTGAGTCCCTGCCTGAGTGCCCTGAGTTCAAGCCCCATGACCATCACAAAAAAATCTTGTTTTTTATCATTCTTCTCCCTGTGACACCATTGATGCTTTTTTTCTCCTTGAAGCTTTCTGGTTTTTTGTTTTTGTTTTTTTTGGGTCTGGTCATGGGGCCTGAACTCTGGGCCTAGGCACTGTCCCTCAGCTCTTCAGCTCAAGGCTAGCACTCTACCACTTGAGCCACAGCGCACTTCCGGCTTTTTTCTTTTTGCTTATGTGGTGTTGAACCCAGGGCCTCAAGCATGCAAGGCAAGCGCTTTATCACTTAGCCACCTTCCCAACCCCTCCTTGAAACTTTCTTTTCCCTTTATTCTCTAATTTGGCACTTGAACTGAGTTCTGCGTATTACTTTAGTTGTTCTTTCACAAGTATATGATGTTGATATTATTTAGAGATACCCTTCCAAAGTAATGGTATGTTTGTTTCTGATCTTTTGGACTAGCTACTGAAAATGATTGGTTTTATTTTTTCTCCTTTTCACCTTCCTCTTTCTTCCTTTTTAAAAATTTTCTCCCTTTTTTCCTCCATTCCTTCTTTCCTTCCTTTGTCCTTCCCTCTCTCTTTTCTTTTCCCCTTGGGGGAAGTAGGGCTTCAATTCAGAGCTCTTGTGCTTTCTCATCTTTTCTACTTACTGCTGATAATGCCACTTGAGCCATACCTCTAAATCAGCTTTTTGCTGGTTAATTTAAGATTGATTACTTTTCTGCCTGGATTGGCTTTGAAGCTCAATCTCTGATTTTGGCCTCTTCAGCAGCAAGGATTGTAGACATAAGCCACTTGTGCCTGGGTGAATTTGGAGATTTTTATAGACATTTAAGAAGATGGGCTATTGAAGATGGCAGGCTTGTTACTTGGAAAGGAGGTCAGCACTGAATATCAAGGATGGTTGGAGCCGGGCGCCGGTGGCTCAGGCCTTTAATCCTAGCTACTCAGGAGGCTGAGATCTGAGGATCCTAGTTCAAAGCCAGACCAGGCAAGAAAGTCTGTGAGACTCTTATCTCCAATAAACCACTAGAAAACCAGATGTGTTGCTATGGCTCAAGTGGTAGAATACTTGCCTTATGTGGAAGAGCTGAGGGATAATGCCCAAGCCCAGAATTCAAGCCTCACGACCGACCAAAAAAAGAGGGGGGGATGGTTGGGTTTTTTGGGGTTTTTTTTGGCCAGCCCTGGGGCTTGAACTCAGGGCTTGGGCACTGATCTTTTATTGCTCAAGGCTGGCACTCTACTACTTGAGCCACAGCACTACTTCTGGCTTTTTCTGTGGATGTGGTACTGAGGAATTGAACCTAGGACTTCGTGCATACTAGACAAGCACTCTACCACTAAGCCACATTCCCAGCCCAAGGATAGTATTTTAAATATAGTTTAAACAGTTACTTTTTCCTGTGTCCATTAGGTTTTAGAAACTAATCTTCATTCTTCAGATGAACTATTTTCTTATTTGGGGGAGAGGGCCTTAATAGTATTGTACCACTTCTGGTGCTGCTTTGTGTTCACTTTTAAGAGGGAGAAGTATTGCAAACTACTTTCCTTTTCCCTTTAGGCAAGGTCCTTCCACAAAAGTGTTCCTGTGAAAGCGTTTCCTGCTTTTCTTCACACAGTAAGTACATTAGCAGAGGAGGAGAATAATTACAGAAGCACATATGTGTGATCTTTTGGGGTTTATAAAGTTCCCAGTGTAGTTCTTGTGTGGGAGTGTTTGGTTTTGTTTCCCTCCCTTCTGGTGGCTTCATTAGTTACATGATGATTTTAGTAATGGTCACACCTGCATTTGCTAGAGTTATCACTAACACTGACTCTACAATAGTACTGTGTTGAGTCTGTTTTGCCTCTTTGGACAAAGGATCTACTAAAAGGGGGAATTACCGGAAAAACTGCTCTGTAGGATTATGAGGTTTCAGCTCTATAGATATTCCTTCTGCTCCATTCTTTTCCTTCAGAATGCCCTAACCATATTGTAGCACTCGTTCCCTAATAGTGTTTCACAGACCAAAGCTGAGTTGACTACATCAGAATAACCTGGGGGGAAAAAAATGTAATAGAGTTTCTTGGACTCTTTTAAGTAAGAGTCGCAGGACCGAGATAGGATAGAGTTCTTATAAGAATATGTGATTTTGGGGCTGGGAAGGTGGCTCAGTGGTAGAGCGCTTGCCTTGCATGCAAGAGGCCCTGGGTTCAATTCCTCAACCCCACATAAGCAAAAAGAAAAAAGC